TACACCCCTGTTCACTAACTAGTAGTGTTATAGTTTAAAGGTCAGAAAATGGAAAAATCCATTATATTGTTTGTCATGCATGAACAATTAAGATATTGTTTATTGAGAGAAGTTTTGTCTACTCACAGATCTTAATTGAAAATGTTTTGATTTAATTTTAAATCAGTTTATACTGCTGTCTGAACACTCTTACTTCAGTTTAAGAGCAGTGTATTTATGTAAACCAACCCAAAATAAGCCTGATTTTAAACCAAAATAAGAATGTCCATTTGGACTTTTGCACCAGTTTAACTAGGCTGATTTGAAATCACACTTCAAATTAAGCTGGTGCAACTTCTTTATATAGACAGGCTCTGTGGTTAGAGGCAACTATAGGGCACATATCTAGAACAGAAATAAAATGCTGCAATTAACTTCTAGCATATCTTGCTGCAGACACTGCATTTTTCAAAAGAAGGGCATTGTATGGTCTTTCAGAAATAGAACACTTATAACATTGTGCCTTATAATTTATAATCCAGTTTAGGACTAAATACATTAATGTGATGCTTATACTAGTCCCAAAATTTTTAAGAACAAAAGAGATTCATTAAAACTGAGGGTTAGTTTATAGGCAAGTGCTTGACATACCAAGGGAAAAAAAAGTTGTAAGAGAACACGAAAATAGCAATAACACTTGAACAAAAAGTGCATTGAGAGAGATTCTTTTTGAATGGGAGATACTTTACTATTTAGCAAATCAATCTACATAGAGTCGCAATCCTACTCTGCTTTCTGTCCCTGGTTTTTATGGCTCACGACATATTAGACTGTGCCATATATAGCACACAGTGATAAAAATTCCCCATCTTATTTAATTGTGACCCTTCAATGGATTTGAAAGGGAATGCTTTATTTCCATTTCTTTAATTTATTACTTTTTTAGCTGATGAAGTATTTTATTTTATTAACCTTTGTGTTTGAGAGTTGATGCTTAAAAAAAAAGGCCCTTGGCTGTATTGTGAAGGCCTGGAACTGAATAATGCACTTTAATAATGAGGGATAGAGCTATGGCTTTCGCTGATGGCTGTGACCGGCTCTGTGACCTGATTATGTCGCAGAGTGTCAGCAGCTGAGACACTACAAAAGCGAGCGCATCCCATCAAATCTATCTCCATTGTAATCACTCTCACTGCTGAGAGCCTTGTTAGGAGCAGAGAATCCATCAGGCCTCATTAGCACCATTTACTATCAAGAAGCTCAAAGAGCAAATGTGTGCGCTCATCAGAATAATGAGAGCCAAAGTACCTCTATTATTGAGTTGGATCAACAATGCCACGCTCTTTGTTTAGTTTTGCAAGCTAATTGCAGATTAAAAATCTCTACAGATAGTTATGTATGTTAATTTCTGTGAACTGCACCTAAGACTCTCTACATGTAGATGGTTTTCATATCTAAGAAGATAGGCACATGTTCAATGTAGACTGAGTCCTTAAGATGGTATTCTTAAATGACACTGAGATCATTCTTTAAATCCACTGTATAATTAATATGTTCATAATTCATGTATATTAACACTGACATTATTCTTACATTAATGCCAACAAAGGAATATTAGTGCTTTTTGTTCTCTCCTAATCAGAACACAATTTTATAATGTTATTAGATATCACTTTTTTAACATGCTATGTTCTTCCATTTCTGTTTCACAATCCCTCAGGTTGTCAAAATGAGTATTTTTCCTGTTAAAAAGCTTTTGCCTTTACTATAAAATGACTGAATTTCCTAAGCTGCAGTGCACCCTCACTTAAAACCCACGTAAATCCTGCTGCAGCCAACAGGATTGCATGAGTGTAGTTGAGGGCGGAATTCAGTTGTGTATTTTAGTCAAGTACAAAAACAAGTTTGGGGTAGCCTTTTGTAGTAACCATCAGAATAAGAATGCTTTTGTATCTGTTTCTTTCATCTACATGCAGTAGAGTAATTAAAAATCTTCTATTTTTCTGCATCTGAAATAATTCCAAGTGTGTAAGTGACACCAGTAGCCTAGTGGCTTTGAACAAATGGGCTTCTTAACATTGAAGACAGATAACCTAATTTGCCTGTTAATTTAGACAATTAACATAGACTTTTCTACTTATAGGATAACAAAGTAATCAGGTGATGTAATTTTTTTTATCCAACTGATAAAATCTTCTGATATTTGGTTGTGGAAAAACTCAGGCTTCTCAAAGGAGAAGTAGTGGCATAAGAAAAGAGATCATACCAACATTTTTAAATTGCAAAAATAAACAAATACAATTTTGCTGCATAAAAGGTGGTCATGCTTGTATAATCTGGACAGTCTGAACATAAAAATGGAGTTAAAGGTCAAGCCATACGTCACCCATAAGGCAGTTTTCCCCTAGATTTGCAGTAGGATCTCAGATTTGACCAATATTATATTACTGTGTTACAAGGGATAAAGGGTCACCATGTATTTAGTCGACAATTATACAAGACCTATATCTTTAAAAGATAGAGGTATGCAATTAAAATATTTGCACATATGAATGATTACTTCCCTGAGCCTAAATTTTCAAAACTTTGAAGGAGCCTGATTTTCAGAAGGCAAGTACTGTACTCTGCACTTTCTGCAAATCAGGACCCCATAAAAGGTTTCAGATTGAGCATTAAGTTTTAAAAATCAGACCCACCATTTTTGCTGCTTTGCTAGGATGTAATTCATTTGAAAACAGAACTCCTCAGTCTCAAATCCAACATGCCTGTCACATGGGCTTAAGAAGCATGTTTTAAGCAGTAGACTAATGTACAGATGGCTTCTACAGAAAGCACTTTCCTTATTTTTATTATTATTATAATTACTATTTATTTACAATTGTGGTAGTGCCTGGGAGTGCCATCCATGAACCAAAGCCCTATTGTGCTAAGCACTCTACAGACACATAACAAAAAGGCAGTCCCTTTCCTCAAAGAGCTGAGTAGACAGAAAGACACTGTAATTTTATTTAACAATAGAAAAAGATTCTCTTTTTCTCTGAAACCTGTGGAGTTACTGGATTTTCCTTTACCTGTGTGGACTAGCTAGCAGCATCTTGGTCTGATTATATAGTTTCATTCACTGATTAAAGAATTAGTATTATATTTATATCACGTGGCTTACATACATTCTTCACTTTTTTGTTTTCTGGAGAGAACACGTAAGGAAAAAGTACTGAAAAGCTGGTGTGAATGTATATCTTCAACTCTCACAATTAACATCTTAGGAGCTAAGTGTCTCTTGTGAGAGAAGGATATGTACTATTTCTGGAGCATGGATATAAAGAAGCAGGCCTTCTAGATGGAGGTGATCTGACTATGAATTATAGGTATTATAACCAACTTTTCTTCCATACCAATACCCCATGCCTCCAGAAATCTTAATAGGCTTTTGAGAGCCTCCATTTAAAGCTGGCTGCATAAAATGATCCTTTGATGAAAAGGGATTGAAACAAGGGTTAAAGTAGACATTGAAAGGTTATTGTAGAGGGCACATTGTTCATACAATCCTCCTTTAATATGTGTGGTGTGCACCTGCGATAAGATGATTCATTAGATAAGGCCTCACTTTGACAAGCTCCATCGTTCAACCCTCGGGGTAGTGATGGAACAATTCAGCACCCACCCAGTAAATATAACAAGGTCAGCATTTTTTCTGGGACTTAGATGGGGGAGACCAAAGCTCAGGATGCATCTTATGCTTTATGTAAAAAAAAAAAAATCCCCATAAAGTTTAAGGATATCATTTTTGTTTTCTATTGTTTTACAGATCCGAAAAAATATAACCTTTGTCTCTAGTACAAAAAAATCAGTGACATAAAATTATGAGGAAGAAAAGAACAACTTACAATTGGTGCTTTTTTAAGTTATATGTCAAAAACTGTAACTTATAATTACTGATATCCAGGGCTGTATCAGTCTATCAAACATCTATTGAAGTGTCTGTTATCAGACTGATTTTTTTTCATTTTACTAGTGTCTATTCAAATAACAGGTTTGTTTTTATGGTACAGAGTACCAAGTGAGCAGTACTAATCTTAAACTATATTATTACACTTACTATAGTGATTTAATTATATTACTATTTGCAGTGAAACAAAGAGTCTCATGACTTTTGTTACTGACATGATAGAATAAAGCCAGTCAGTGATCATCATTCAGAAAGGTATTTAAGAACATGAAGGCAATGGGATTACTCATGTGCATACCTTTCTGAATTCCAGTTTATAGCAGGACCAGAATGATATCAACTTCAATAAACACAGATAAACCCCTCTGTATAAGCATGATAACATGAAACTTCCCTTTTAGACAGCTCAAAAATTTACAAATTATCATGTTTAAAAACACAGTAGTAAAAGACTTTTAAAAGACAACCGAGCCTCTTGAATTTGCACTGATGACTGGCAGACCCATTTCAAGTTGCTGAATTTTGGGAGTCTGTAACCAATGAGCAAACAATCGTACTAAATCTAAGATACTGCATTACAAAATGTGCTTTGTTCATTTATTTTGACTACTGTGGAGTATTTTTATACACACTTGATAGCATACTAATGAATGTTATAGTTTATAAAAAATAATGCAGTCTTAGTATTACAAAACTTCAGTATTCATTTCAGGTATTAAATCTGTGCTTAGAAACAGGGAGAGACTTTTGGGGGTGGGGGTGAGAATTATCAGGTTCTTGAATTAGCATAGTGAGACTCAGCAACAATCTTCACACTTAAAAATACCACATGGTTACATGATTGTAATCTCTTCCCAAGTTTGTAATATAAAAAGCAAAAGCGGAACCATTTTCACTGTAAAAAACCTCCTCCCCAGCCCTAAACATTTCTGTTTCTTATCTTTCCTGGTAAACATTACTTATTTATCTTCAATATGTGCACTTACAAATTGCTGTCATGCAAAAGAAATTCATTTTTCTCCAAAGATCAATCTGCCATAAGAATTCACTGTTTTCTCCATCTTCCACTCACCTGTCCTTGTGCATTAGTGACTAGTTGACCTGTGACCCCCTGAAGACTGGAGAGTGCATTGCCAAAGGCCTGTGAGCTTGCCTGAAAAAAAAAAGAGAAAGAAACAAAAGATCATGGTAAAACCACTGATGAACATGGAGGCACACAAAAATACAGCACTAAATGAATATATAAATGCTACCATACTAACACAGGAATACTCTAGTTTATCCCTAGTGCTTAAGCACTTCTTCAGAGAGGTTTTTATTTCTGATGCACTGGCCGCTTTGAGAATGTATGTGTCTAAGAATCCCAAAGGAAACTCTATTGTCTTGAAGAACACAATTGCCCCATCGTTTGGAGTTATGCTTGTATTTCCTTCTTAGGTGCATAAGAGTGGCTCAGGTCTAGGTACCCTAATCTTGCCTCTATGTGAGGACAATGAAAGTTCAGTCTTTGATTTTAAAGGGAATGGGATCAAACCTCTATTTTGGCTGTTTAGATTAGAAAGATACCTTCTTGCTTCATGCTACTTCAGCTCAACTGGTATTTAACTACTGACCCCAAATATGAGAAAAAACACACTGCTTCTACTGGTTCGTAAATTCAAAGAATAGGCAACAAAACACAAATCACAGTCTGGAACTTGACCCTATGATTAAGTTAAATGGATGTCAACTGAAAATGAATAACAATCTCCACAGCTTTCTGTTTGCAAAACCATGGGAAATGTATTGATATAGTTATTATTTGTTCTTTCCTGTGAATAATTAATTCCAGGGTTCATGTACAATTCTCCAGCTGTCTACAAATTTCACTTCTTCTGCCATAATGACATGCTCAATATACAATATCACATGCATTAAGCATTCTTACTGA